AGGTAGAGTTATTGTTCTTGCACACTACTGTTCCTACTACGCTAAAGTAGTTTTGGAGTAATGCTCCCAACAAAACCGGGACAGACGCAAACATGAGCGTAGACCTTTCTTAACACCCCCTTCGTCTTTGGCGGGGAGACAAATAAATAAACATTTGCCCAATGACATCAGCGGCACCGTCAAAATGACTGTACCAATAGCTCGAGACTTTTCTTAGGAAAAGTAAAATTTAAATGAAAATATCGACTTCATTAATTAGAAATATGTATATCATTAGTAAATTTGGTGGAAGTGGCGGCATTTGACTTTTTCAACATTAATCAGAGATGCATGCAATTGCAAATGCAGAAACTGTACCAAAGAATTTGCAAAAATTGTTTATTCAAATGCAAACTAGAGCTATGGGCCTTTGAAAGTGACTCCTCCCATTATGGTCACCAATACAAGTAATAGGTTTTGAGAAAATTCATTAAACAAGAGGGCCATGATGGCCATGAGGTCGCTCACCTGTATATAGGCCCCCCGGGGCGGGACCAATTTTGACCCCAGGGCTTTTATTTGAACAACCTTGGTAGACACTCACTAGAAGATGTTTCATGCTAAATATCTTAGCTCTTTGAGTTCTTTTAAAGAATTTTAGCCAATTTTGACCCCAGGGCTTTTATTTGAAAAAACTTGGTAGACACTCACTAGAAGATGTTTCATGATAAATATCTTAGCTCTAGCTCTTTGGGTTCTTTAAAAGAAGATTTTTTTATGTTTTTACTATATGCATTTAGGGAAAATCAATGCCCCCCTGGGCCGGGTCCAATTGTGACCATAGGGCTTTTATTTCAACAAACTTGGTAGACACTCACTAGAAAATGTTTCATGCCAAATATCTAAGCTCTAGCTCTTTGGGTTTTTTAAAAGCAGATATATAAAGTTTTTTCTTTCGGTTGCCATGGCAACCAGAGTTCTAAATGGAATTAAATTCTTTGAACAATTTTAAAAGGTGACCACCAAAGGAACATTCCTGTGAAGTTTGGATGAAATTGGCTTAGTGGTTAATGAGGAGATGTCATTTAAAGTAAAAGTTTACGGACGGACGACGGACGGACGAAGGACGGACGCCGGACGAAAAGCGATCACAAAAGCTCACCCTATCACTTTGTGACAGGTGAGCTAAAAATTGAAGATTGGTGATGTATGCAGTCTTAAAACAACAAGTTGACAAATGGCCGTAATTCACTCACAGGGATAAGACGCTTTGATCTGATATTATCCCCTACCGCTAATCCCCCCCCCCCCTTTTTCATAATACCTCTATAGTATTAGTTATACAAGTTATACTATAGATAATAGAGGTATAATGAAAATTGTGTAATAGTGTCATATTATTGTTGTTATGAATACTAAATGTGGAAGTTGACTTGAAATGATATTTTTTGTTTTTGGTTGTAACTGGAACTGAAGGGAGGGGGGGGGGGGGGGTAGCAGTAGAGGATGATATAAGATCAAAGCGTCTTATCCCTGTGAACTGAATTCATTCAAAATCCAGGTCAGTTTCCCGAACCTTAAATAATGGCCCTCAGTTAAGGTTTTAAGCACATGTATTCATTAGTTCTTATGTTTAATGCTATATGCAACACTAACCAAGAATTTTCTATGTTCATAAAATGCCATAATTTAGTCAAAATACATGTCATAGTTATTAATCATGGGAAGCTACTCCAATTTAAAAAGTCGGAGACATTTGTTAAGTTTCAAATGAATATCTTTAGTAATTTTGAAGACTGTTGTTGAATGCTACTCTTTAAGCAGGATTTTTCACAAAGTGTCATTATTTTATAAATATCCATGCTAGAGTTATGGGTATTTAAAAGTTACCCCAATAATGATGTAATAAAAGTGATATAAATGTGTAAAGTTACACGCAAATATGTTCAGTAGCTGATGAGATATAATGCTGTACAAGACGTTGAACGTGAAACTTGAACCAGGGTAACGACGCTGACGGACTGGCGATTTAATAGTCCACTGTTCTTCAAATAGTCGAGCTAAAATAAAGAAAAAGGCTAAAAAAGAAAGCTAATACGGCTCAAATATGGTTCACATGAGATACATTCATTGTTTAAAGATTAAATCTTCTTCAAAGTAAAGTTCATGGTAGCCAATTGGATAAGTCCAGTCATCAATTCCAAGCCGTCTCCGGGCAAATAACATTAAAAACATCTATTTAACTCTGTGTCACACAAGATTAAAATATTTTCACTCTTTTGCCCACGGCACCCTCTTTCAAAATCTAAATCATAAATATAAGTTTTATATATGGCGGCTACTAATATCAGCATGATTTTTAATTTTAGGACGCAATAATGATTATATTACCCAAAATATCTAAGGTGTCCATCTAGTTTGCTCCTATTTAAAGTAACAAAAAATACCCCCGGTAATGGTTCACATTGGCTTTAGTTCACAAATAATAGTACCGTACCTATACATTCATGTCTGTCTATTATTTTAGACAAGCATGTTTAAATCCTGCTTTCCACATTAACTAAGACCCACAGAAGACCAAATGCTGACGACATGAACATGATTGTGTTGCATTTGATAAAACAAACTCAAAATTAATATACATGTTGTTAATACTATTATAAAATGTTGCTTGAAAATAATGTTGATAAAGTTCAAGTGATTTATAATGAAAACTTATATGACGAGTATAAATAGTTTCAGAGAAGAAGACGATTGTTAACGCATGACGACGGACGCCGGAGCATCCCCCTTTGATACTAATAGCTCACACTGAACCTTCGGTTCTGGTGAGCAAAACAGTGGTTACTATAAAGTAAACAATGTATTCATATCATAACTTGAGCCCCCGCCGGGCGGGGGCAATGCTTGTCTATTTGTTTTAACCTTTTCTAACAGCAAGCACATACATGGTTTAAACAACTCTTTAAAAAGAAAATTCAAGAAACAAAATTAAGTTAACTTATTTTTCTTAAGGTCTGTCTTGTCACTATTCTTGTTTTGTCAAAGTATGAATCATTTCCATCAGTTAAGAAAATATCAGCAGATTCAATCATTTGACGGTCAAGGTCATTTAGAGGTCAAGGTCATATCTGAATTATTCAACAAATTTGTTTGGTCACAAGTGTTGTTTTGTCCAAATATAAAACAAATCCGTACATAAAATAATTATGACAACTTTTAAAACCAAAAATTATAATATTTGACCTTGACAGTCAGGGTCATTTAAAGCTCAAGGTCGAGGTAAGTTCAGCTGTTTAGAAGGATTTGTTTAAAAGCTTGTTTTGTCCAAGTATGAATATAATACAGTGATTAATTACCGAGTGACAGCCAATTAAAGCAATAATCAGATAAATTCAATAATTTGACCTTCAAGGTCAATGTCAAACATTTGAGTTTGAAATACATGACCTAAAGATATGTCTAAATGTGAAGTTAATCCATTTACAAGAGGGCCATGATGCCCTGAAATCGCTCCCCTGAATATATAAAAACTTTTCATGACAAGGAACAAGTAATAATATTGTAAACTATAAACAAAAGCAGATATAAAATCTAAATCTTAAACTGGTATCACAAAGTTCATATCTGTATCTGAAATAATGTATGTGTAAAAGCATTACTGGTTGCTACTGCTAAGGGTAAACAACAGTTCCAAAAGATTTGCACATATAAGGAAAATCAATGATCCCACAGGGCTGGGCCAATTTAGACCCCAGGGCTTTTATTTGAACAAACTTGGTAGACACTCACTAGAAGATTTTTCATTCTAAATATTTAAGCTCTAGCTCTTTGAGTTTATTAAGAGAAGATTTTTAAGTTTTTACTATATACATATAAGGAAAAAATGACTGCCTGGGACTGGCCAATTTTGACCCCAGAGCTTTAATTTGAACAAACTTGGTAGACATCCATTAGGAGATGTTTTATGCTGAATATCCAAGTTCTAGCTCTTTGGGTTTTAAAAGAAGATCTTTAAGTTTCTACTTTATACATATAAGGATAATCATCAACCCATTGGGGGTGTGCCAAATTTGACCCCAGGGCTTTTATTCGAACAAACTTGGTAGACACCCACTAGAAGGTGTCTGAGGCTTAATATCTAAGCTATAGCTTTTTGTGTTTTTTAAAAAGAAATTTTTAAGCTTTTACTTATACATAATTATAAGGATATCAATGACCCCAGGGTAGGGCCAATTTTGACCTCAGGGCTTATATTTGAACAAACTTGGTTGACACTCACTAGAAGATGTTTCATGCGTAATATCTAAGCTCTAGCTATTTGAGTTATTTAAAAGAAGATTTTATCAGTTTTTTTTCTTTCAGTTGCCATGGCAACCGGAATTGAATTCTTTGAGGTGGCACCAAAGGAACATTCCTGTGAAGTTTGGATGAAATTGGCACTGTGGTTTATGAGGAGATGTTTGTTTAAAGTAAGTTTATGGACGGACGAACGAAGGACGGACGTGTGCCGGAGGAATCGTGATCACAAAAGCTCACCTTGTCACTTTGTGACAGGTGAGCTAAAAACACCTTTTGTATTCAAATGCCATAACTGGGCCAAAAATCATTCAGTGGAAAACCTGTGTTATATGCACAAGCACTTAAGCTACCAATCCTGTAAAGTTTCATTGAAATTGCATTAGTGGTATAAGAGGAGTAGTCCAGAGAAACTTTACTAACACCTATTTCATTCAAGAACCATAACTCAGCAAAAATCTGATATATGCACTAATTTACTTTGCATTGATCATTCCTGTAAAGTTTTGTTGAAATTGCACCAGAACTTTTCTGGAGTTGTCCTGCAAAGTTTGTGATGGAGGACCAAATGGATGAACAGATAACAGCGAAGTGATCCATAGATGACACAAAAATACAAACTTATTTAATAAATTCTCTGGGTATATGAACATATATTTCAGTTGTGTTCTTCAATACAACCAATGCAGGTGACAGCTAGATGACAAAACAGAACTTACATATAAAACTCAACTCAGCTTTATTATACAATCACCATCTACATTTACATTCAATTTCATTGGCTATTAACATGATTATTCAACATTATGAAAAATGGTCATGATAAAGTACAATCTAAGATTAAGTAAGATTAACATTTTGTACAAAATGTATGGTACATTGTACAAATTAACAATAATCAAAACATGACCTACCAGAGGAATCTAATACAAAGTAATTAAAGATCAATCTAAGAAAAAAATGTATTACAAATACATACATGTATAATTGCAATATCAAGATAAAAACTAAAATGACCAATAAATTATTGCCCAATAAAAGTCTCCAAATAGAATAGTGTAATATAGATTATATATTCGCAAAAAAAGTAAAATAAAGAGGAATCCTAAATGATTCTAAAATCTTTTAAACAACAGAGATCTATAATTATACATTATTTTATAATACACAAAACAATAAATATATTGTCAACAGTTCAGTCACAAGTGTCATGTATATAAAATACATTCTTTACAATTTCCTATATTTTCCCTTTATGAAATCTTTTAGAATTGATAATTGTCCAATGTTCATTCATTCATGCTTGTTGACAATAGAGACTGTATAGCTTAATGCATGGTCTATCTAGTACCAAAAATTGTTTCAATCATGACTCAAGCCTCAAAACCTGCCAAGCTGAGTCTATATTAAGTTCTAAATACCACAATATTAAACACAGCATCTTCTGACAACCGTGTGTTAGCTTAATAAAATGAGGTATTTTAAGTTAACAAAAAAAACATCATGTCTCTCTTAACACAAAAACAGGCACCAACCACTTAAAAAGACTGTATATATTTTCTATATTCTGCTTTATGTTTAAGACTAAATAAGAATTTTTCAATCATTTTGATAACAGAGCAAGTGTGCAAATCAAGTAAACATCATTGATCTCTGTTCTTACAGGTCACTTCTATAACCTATATTATCATTTAATGTTCCTGTTTTACAGTTACTAGGTCTCTTCTAAACTTATTTCAAACATATGTATCACAATGAATGAAGTACATGCTTTGAATAAAACAGTTTCTTTGAAGAGAATTATATTTTCTTTGAAGAGAATTATATTAAGTTTTTCTTAAAAACAAGCTTGAAAGTCTACATGAAGATTTTATTTCCGTGTTGTCTGATTCATTCTTTCTGAGCCTCTAAAAGTTTTAATTCTTTCCTTGCTTTTATATTTTCAACTTCCATCTCCTCAGAAAAAGATGTGGCTCCTAATGAAGCAACAGTTAGGCAAGAAAAGAAGATACGAAAGTTCAACATGTACGAGGACATTAACGCGTCTTTCTTTCCCGACACTACTCCTGCACCAACTAGTGCTGTTAACGTCAAAAAGGCACCTGAAAGACAGAGAAGGAAAATCAGTATAAATAATGAAAATGTGTACATATGTATACATGTATTTTGTAGTATATATATATAATATGTACTTTATATGTTTTTATAATTATATGCTTATTCTACTTAACAAAACATCTAATAAGCTTCTATTTAGTATTTACTTAGTCCAGCCTTATTAATTTTGAATAATTCCAGAAAATCAAGTGACCGCAGGTACAGTTAATGTTGAATTGTAAACTATACACTTACTTTAATAATACTTAATTAATTTTATCATTGTAACAATTTTCTATGACTGGTTTTGAGTAGATAACATGAGAGCAATAACGTCTACGTTGTATACTAGTTTACTACAGTATTCACTGCATTTACATTACAATGTGCATGCATGCATTTGTTTGCAATGAAATATATTTGAATTGCCCTCATGTGATTTACATGTTCACCAAGTTGATAAAGTTATATAAATTATACTGTAAATAAATATTTCATATTTTGTTATTCTCAAGATGTATCTGTGTAGGTGGTAAATTTACTTCAGTAAATTAATTGACAGTAAAATGATCAATTTCTGTTCTTAAAAGTTACATACAGAGAAGAGAACAATTTATTTCACAAATAATATAGTATCAAAACAAATATTTAGTTCATACAAATTTATTTTAGTTTGTGTTGGAAGCTATACATTTTAATATTGAAACACTCTCAAAAACAAACATTTAATTTAATCGTTCCTTAATTTGATTGTGGGTATTCTTTACAAATATGTGGAAAAGAGCCGATGCATGTTTGCAATATATAGAATAAGACATGGCAAGAAGTATTTGTTTGGATAAAATTTTGTCGGATCTTTAACTCGTGGATTGACCTACCCACGATAACCGAGAAAATTTCTTTACAACTAATTTTTTATAAATATCAATCTCCTCGAATCAACATCCAGTGACGTCACTAAATGGAGTCGGAAACAAACTCAGATCGAGGGAAATAATCAGAAAATGTTGAATTATTCCTACATAGCTACGCGATAAGATACAGTTATTGACCCAGTGTGATTGATGCATTTATGTATTGTTTATCAAAATGGCCCCATAGATTATTTTGATCCGTTGTTTTGTTCAACTTTATATTGGGGTGTGGAAAAGGTGTTTCATTCCTTGTGATTATTTATACTGTACAGGGGGTATATATTATATTAATGGATATTATCATTAATATTGATAGAATTTCAAGTTCCTGTGGTTTGATTATGTTTTATTATTGAAAGTGTATATATATATTGTATTTATGATTAAAACAGCACTTTTTAGCATAAAACATTTATATTTAGTATAATTGGGCAATATTTTGGTATATTTAAGCAATATTTTTGCGGCCCCAATATTTGGGTATGTTTGGGCCATATTTGTGTATTTCGTGCTGCAAATTTGACTATCTAGAGGTTTATAAACATGAAAATGTTAAGCAATGAAAGTTATGATGCAAACATATTAAAAGTAATAAAAGTGATAATCATGACCAGCAATTTATAATTATGAGCCAAGTTGACTGGTGCCGAGTTGGAATAGGACCGAGCTGACTCGGGGGGCCGAATACGTTTTAGGGCCGAGCTGACCCTGATTCCTAAAGTACAGGCTAACTACAGACTTATCTGGCCATAATTTAAAGAATTATACATATGCTAACAATACGTCTACTTACATATACTTGAAGCCAGATTGTTTTTAATTCCTGGAATAATCATTGCCTTAACGATTCCTTTTTGTGCGACATCATATTCACCTTTAGTGTCATACAAGGTTGGTCTAAACCCGACTTCTCGACGAGGGGGGTCTAAAAATTCATCTTCAATGCTTTCTTTCTTATCAGATAATTTGACTGGAGCCATTTCCTTGTTATTTTTGTGAATGTTCCTTTTCAACAGTCTGTTTACACCTGCTTATAGATGTGTTTACATCTGCATATATTTTTAATTATGAAAACGGACTAATTGATCTTGCTTGATTGTTATTCAAGCTGTCATATCGGGAGAACAAGTTCGGACAGGCCGACTAAAACACGAAAGGAGCCAAAGGGAACGGAAGGAAATCAACAGTTGTAAAAAGATAAAATGGAAGGTCCGAATCATAATGTGCATCTATGTATCTTAAATCTCTTTTTGGAATAATAGTTATTCACATTATTTATTGAGTAGAAAAGGTCAATGAAAAAAATAAGTGCCAAATAACCAATAATAAAATGGGACCGGGTTATATCAGCATTTAATAACACTTCCAGATACCTTGATGACATTTTTAATTTAGATAATTCTTATTTTGATCAAATGGTGTCTAAAATTTATCCTACTGAGCTACAACTTAATAAAACAAATTCTTGAAATTTAACTACATCATTTTTGGATCTTCATATCACTATCAAAAACAATTCTATTCACACGAAAATCTATGAGAAAAGAGATGACTTTGATTTTAGTATAGTAAATTATCCTCATTTGGAGCATGCAACATCTTACGGGGTTTATATATCTCAGTTAATTAGATTCGCTAGGGCTTGTAGCAACGTTAAGGATTTTAACGAGCGAAATATTTTCATTACCGGTAAGCTGCTCAAACAGGGCTACCGCTATTATAAATTACGTAAATATTTTACAAAATTTTACAATCGTAACTTTGATTTAATTTCAAAATTCAATAGTGATCTAAAAACTCTTCTGCGACAAGGGATTAGCCAGCCTGATTTTTACGGGGATGTTGTTTACAAACTTCGTAAGATCTTGGGTCATTGTAATTTTTCTGTTGTGTTTACTAAATTAATTAAACGTTTTATTAAAAGGGGTTATGACCCTACTATTTTAAGACATACCGCATGCTTAGTGTTCAACCCATTTACAGTTGGACGCTACGCTTTCCTCTTTTGATTACATCTGACGGACCAAGTAGGAGACTCTATGATGGACAGTTCTTAAAGCCCTTTGGGACTGAATTGCCTTAATGTTTGTCTTCTGTCTTGCTTCGTCGGGCCCTTGTAGGTGATTTTCTTGTTGCTCTGTCTTCCTTTAAGACATCGAATCTGAATCTGAATCTGAATGTATACACTGCAGAACCTTCCGGTATATACGCAGCGGGAGAGAGGAGCTAAGTAATTTAGTAGCACTGTTGGAGAGCTGTTTTAAAGCTCTGTACTGTCTCTGCGCACACAACGGCACTGTCTAAGTTATTCCAATCACTAATAGTCTTAGGAAAGAATGAATGTTCAAATTGGTCACTTTTTGAGATAATAGGTTTATAGCACTTATGATGGTTTATAGCTTGGTTTTCTACAATGTTTTTAGTTATGTAATTGTCTAGTTTCTTAGGTTTAATTAGGCGTTTACCACGAATAGGGGTCAGATAGGTATCGGTGGGTATAGCTGGCACCAGCCCCTCAGCCACCTTGAAGAAGAATGTCAATCGTGCCATTTTCCTTCTGTCTTGTAATGGAGGTAGCTCAAGTTGCTTCAACATCCTGGTAACGCAGCCTTGATCTCTTGATTTGTAATCCCCAGAAATAAATCTAGCAGCCTTCCGTTGGATCGACTCAAGCTTGTCTATATCTTTCTGTAGAAATGGGTCCCATACAATTGAGCTGTATTCAAGAGTGGATCTAACAAGGGATAAGTAAGCTGTTTTCCTGCAGAGTAGTGGGCAGTGTTTAAGGTTTCTCTTGAGGAATCCGAGTGTAGAGATGGCTTTGTTGGTAATCTTTGTGATGTGGGTTCCAAATTTTAGATTGTCTGTAAAAGTGACACCAAGGTATGGATTTTCATCAACTTGTTGTAGGATATGATTGTCTAGTTGGTAAAAGTTAGTGGATCTGTTGTTGATACTCATAACATAACATTTTTTGGCATTGAATTTCATACCCCAAGTAGATGCCCAAGTTTCCAGTGATTTCAGGTCTGTTTGTAGTTGGAGATGGTCTTTTCTGGTTTTAATTTGCCGGTATAGGAGACAGTCATCGGCGAAGAGACGGACAGTTGATTTAACGCAGTCTGGTAAGTCATTTATATGGCAGAGGAAGGCTAGTGGTCCGAGGACAGTACCTTGCGGAACTCCTGAGTCTACTGTGACTGGTTCGGATGCTTCACCGTCTACCACTACTCTCATAGTTCTGTTGGTGAGAAAGTCTCGAAGCCACCGGTTAATGTTTCCGTCAATACCACATAATGACATCTTGTGAAGTAGGCTTTCATGAGGGACGGTATCGAAGGCTTTAGAGAAGTCCAATATCATGATATCTATCTGAGATTTATTGTCATGATGTTGTAGTAAATCATGAACTGTGGTGAGGAGCTGGGTTTCACATGAGTAGCCTGATCTGAAGCCGTGGTTTAGTGAGGTGAGGATGTTGTTTTGTTCAAGGTGGTCAAGGATGTGCTTGCAGATATTATGTTCTAGTAGTTTACAGGAGACTGATGTGAGTGAAACAGGACGATAATTTTCGGCAAGGTGTGAGTCGCCCTTCTTGAAGACAGGGGATATGTTTGCGCTTCGCCAATCTGAGGGTAGTTTACCACTGTCAATTGATGTTTGGAAAATATGTCGTAAAGTTGGTGCAAGGGTCTTGGCACAGGTTTTAAGGACAATGTTTGGAATTCCATCTGGACCTATGGCTTTGCTGGTTTCTATATTGTTAAGTAGTTTCTCTATGCCTTTAGTAGTTATTTTCAGTGGAGGTATTGGTGCTTTAGCTCTTAATCTTGTCGATGGTTTATTGTTGTTTCCTTTGGTAAAGACGGATCTGAATTGTTCTATAAGTATTTCTGCTTTTTCTTTGCTGCTATTGAATAGTTGTCCCTTTTTCTTTAGTGGTTGTACGCCAATATTGTCTTGTCTTCTTGATTTAATTAGCCGCCAGAAAGGTTTACTGTTTTTTTCTTCTAATCCTTTGATGGTAGTACTGTTTATGTGTCCGATTTCAGCCTTCTTGAATTCTTTTTTACATTCACGTTGAAAGGTTTTAAAGTGAGTCCAGTTTCCAGTCTTCTTAGCATTATTATATAAGCGGGATTTCCTTTTGACCATACGTTTAAGTTTATGATTGAACCTTGGTAGAGACTTTCTTTTCTTGCTCATCTTAGATGGAACATTTTCTTCTATACTTTTGAGAATCCTTAATTTGAAGAGTAACCATATATTTTCTATGTCATTTTCATTGCTTGAGATGATCTCCCTTTCTAGCTTAGTAAAGTCTTTGTTCAACGTGTCCCAATTTGCTTTATTATATTGAAAGAATTTACGTGGTTTCTGTTTGATGTAATGAGGTAAGATGTCAATATCTGTAACAATCATGGCATGGTCGCTGATGCCTGGAACAGATGTGGAGGACTTGACAAGTGATGGGTTGCTTGTAAGTATGAGATCTAGGAGGTTGTTGTCTCGTGTGGGCTGTTCTTGTACTTGGGTAAGGCCAAATTCCACGGCTAGATCTATTAATGCCTGTTGTACATCCCGTTCCAGGGCACCCTTGTCCACTGTCGTGTTGTTCCAGTTGATGTTTGGGCAATTGAAGTCGCCAGCAATTATTACATGGCTATCCTTAGCTGATTCACGTAGCTTGTTAACTGAGTTATATAGTTCAGAAATGGATTTCATGTTTCGGTGTGGCATGTAAAATGAACATATATATAAGTTATTATGGTTTGTCATCTTTATCTTGGACCATACAATTTCGCAGTCTGTAACTAGCTGTGGCTGTGGGTCTGAGGAGATGCTGTTTGTTGTGGCTATGAATACACCCCCTCCCACACTGTTTGCCCGGTCGTTTCTGTTTACCATCAGGTTCTCCGGAAAGACTTCGCTTGATTTAATCGCATTCTTTTCAGGGTCTTTCCCAGGAGCCAGGACTCAGTACCGCATATTATATCTGGTTTGATGTATTCTGTGGCTGAGTGGAACTCTGCTCTGTTTGTTCGCAGGCCACAGCAGTTAACTGTAAGAAGACGTAGGTTTGCAGACTTTGCAGGGTAATGTTCTGGGCCATGGGTTTGGGAAGCTTGGCTTACCGATGGATGTTTGTTGTGCCGGCTGCTGTTAATTGATGAGTTACGTGGGCTGCTGGTGTGTATCGGACTGAAGCACGAGGATGTAACTGAGTCTAGAGTTGAATCAAGGTTTGCAATTGGTGTGAAAAAGTTTGATGTAGTTAGTTCATAACTGTTGAATGTGAAATCATCGACGTTTATGCTATCACATCTACAGCAGTGCCATACAACACTGGGTCTGTTCAAGTAGGACATATTTTTAGAGATGTCTTCACAGCTTTTATGGTACCAAATACTACAATTACTGCAGCATACTCCGTCGGTAGACCAAGTAACAGGGGCTTCACATGTTCCACAGGGGAAAATAGATGCATTCCTAGGCCCTGGGTTCATTTGGATGTCACCAGACAGTAGAATGAGCAGCAAAAAGATACATGGTTTGGCTTTCGATTCACATTGATTCACAGCCTTGTTTGTATAAATATTAAATTTACTAGCATAGGTGAAACCTCTCGGATGAGTACAGTTGAATATGATAGAAGTCAATGTGGAGGGGTTCTTTTCATTTCCATATGATAGTAGGATACAACCAATAACTGTGCAGGCCAGTAGAAACTGTAGAAATACGGGTTTCTTGTTGATGGGGGCCGCCATCTTGGATTAGGGGAGACAACTCTGCAAGGACTCCTGGTTGGTGACTGAGGGCGGTTACCAGCTACTTGTGCCTTTAGAAAACCATACTGACAGGGGTGGTTTACCTAGAATAGTTCATAGTGACCATTTACACAAGTTTACCACTTTCAAAACACTGTAATTACGAAGAAATTAATTATTTTCCTTTTGGAAAATGGAGCACGAAATTTAACGACTGTTCCGGCTGCGCGCACACCTCTCATATATATCGAGTACTTTTGTTATGGTCATTGGGTTTACTTTTATATGTTTTTACATGATCATTTTAGTGTTTTATTTATTTAACCTTTTGTAACCATAACAACTGTTAGA